ATTTGTCCTTCTGTATGACAGTGAGTGCTGGACTATCTGAGAGATAAAGAAGAGACTTGAAGCAAAAGAAATGTTGTCCTACAGCGGGATGCTGAGGATACCATGGAGCGTATATGTGAGCAGCTACGAAGTTTGGGAGAAAATAGAAACAAAAAGGAAATTCATACCTGACATCATGAATCTACGGAAGTTTATCAGTGGCCCTAAATTTAGGCCTACCGGTAAATGAATTATTATTTACCCCGGTCACCGGACTGAGACGTGATGTGACACAAGGTCGGATTTAACGTTAGGAACCCGAGTGTAAGGACAAAAATTACCCAACACGAGAAACCGTCGGTTGCGCTGGCCTCTGTATAACTACCGATCTCCACTCTTTAGCACAATTGATACGGGTTGCCTGCATCCTTAGATAGCTGTTCCCCGGGACCAGGTACCTAACAGTATTTAATTTACCACAGCTGCGTCTCCCTCCGCGGACAGTGCGACAACTGAGTCAAATTCTGCTTGAAGAAAGAGACGTAACTGAGGGATGATAAATCCTACTCAGCTACCTAAGTTATACCATACACTGTGCCATTAACTACAAACATCACACCATTTAGCTGTATATTGGGACACGAGTCATTATATACTTCCCTCTGCGTTGTATAGCAAACAAATTTAAACACACACCGACAGGTACCTTATATTGGGACACGATCCATTATATACTTCCTTATGCGTTGTATAGCAAACAAATTTAAACACACACACCGGCAGGTACTGTATATTCTATCGTTATAACTTAGCGAAGATTTAAAACACATTAAAGTCAACATCAACTTCTATAATGTATTAATACCGTAGATTACACATCATACTAGGTATTTTTATAGTACTGCTAGGTATAGTATGTTATTGTAAAATACAGTATCACTGTAGTTGTCTAAATCGCGGCCTGAGTTCAACGGCGCTTCGGTCAATGTTTATACTTAGTGTATCAGCAGTTGGACGCGATATGAGCAGTAGCGTTAACAGTATACTGCATTTTTGTTACTATTTTCTTATTTTATTGTCATGGTGCCTACCTAGCCCGGCAGAATGAACTCTCCCTAACGCTATATATACTACGCCTCTCAAGAGAGACGAACGGTATTGGACAGTACTACTGTGTACCATACTCTTTTTGAGTAGGTACACATCTACTTATCATCTCTCAGTTGCGTCTCTGTCCTTGGACAGAGAGCGCTCAGGGGCTTTTTCTGTCAAAGGACAGAGGGGCAACTGAGGAAAATTATACTGAAGAGGTGCCCAGCCCTGGGGAACAGCTGTCCGAGTCCGTGCCCTCCCATTGAACAAGTGGGAGGGATCGGTGCTTGCACCGAGGCCAGCGCAACCGACGGTTGCGGGGGCTGAGGGGAATTTTTGTCCCTGCCCGGGTGTACGCGCTCGGGACCCCACATTAATCCGACCTTGTGTCACATCTCATTCTCGTGGGGGAATGAGTAAACACCGCGTATTGGACGGTACTGAATCGAATCGAGCTGATAGTAGTTCACTCCAAACCAGTCTGACAGTCTTACTTACACCCTCCACTTGTATTATTTTTCGTGTAATATATTCTTTGTTATTTCTACTCTTGTGTTTCGTGTTGTTCTTCCATGGTCCTAACCAGGTTTTCGTGGGATGAATTTGTGACATCCTGCGGAAGGTAGTGTAATTGGTGTACAGTAATTGTTAAGAGTGGTATCCCACTTGTTTACAACTTGATGGTAAAGGTTTGCTTTTTATACTCACCAGGCTTGAAAATTCAACTTGTATGCCACAATTTACGGCATATGTATTGTATTTTTTTTCATGTTATGTCACTTATGAGAATATTCTGCGCTGTGCGATTCGTTTCTCCGGCTTTTTACGCGTACGTTTCTTTGAGAAATCTGCGTAAACATCTGACGATATTAACGAAACTGTCTCAATTAAAGTTTGATAGCTTAAAACCTATTGGCGGTTTTTTCATTCATAGCAGGCGTCATGGCGAATTGATAAATGCGGTGTCATTTTAATCAACTGGTTCAGGATTCAATTTTTACCAACTGAAAATACATATGTAGATTTCTTGCATTTTCGAAATATACTAATAAAATTAGTCATTTATAGATCACATTTTGCGGCACAGAATTCCGATAACTCATAGAAATGGCGAAATTATTGTGATATTGGAAAATCTCGTTAGAAAGAAATTAGTATACTATCAAATGTCCTATATGATATTAATGATGAAATAAAATGACAATTATCTAGAAGTGTTAAAACTGCCTCTCCTTAAATAATGTCTTAAAACTTCTGGAATGTACCTCTTAAATATATATATATATATATATATATATATATATATATATATATATATATATGTGTGTGTGTGTGTGTGTGTGCGTGTGTGTGTGTGTTTTGTTTCACATTTGCGTACTTAGTGGAATGCGCTCAATATCTGTGATCGAGCTAACATAATAAGTTGTATGAATATGAGTTTGTTTCACGCATTTTCAATCATGAGACAAACTGGTTTATTGTTTTAAAATTGGATTTATTCATGCTTGGCTTAACCAAAGTGGTAGGGAAAAAGGCCCAGACCAATAGTTTGGTTTGATTTGGTTTGTTTTACGGCTTATCAACGTCAATGTGTTATTTAATGCGAACAAGTCTTTTATTGCTGACTATATTATCTATTTATCTATCTATCTATTGGTTTGGTTTGATTTAGTTTTTTTTTACGGCTTATCGACGTCAATGTGTTATTTAATGCGCACAAGTCCTTTATTGTTGGCTATATTATCTATTTATCTATCTATTGGTTTGGTTTGATTTGGTGTGGTTTACAGCATACCATGGGTTATTCAATGCCGACAAAAGTTTTATTGATGGTAATATTTTTTTTTCGAAAATGTGTTGCTGGCAATATTTTTGTTCCTTCAAAAATTTATTTCTCGTAATATTTATTCTTCAAAATGTATTGCTGATATTTGTTTTTCAAAAAATATATAGCTGATATATTTATATACATAGGTATCATCACGTGGAGATAGAAACAGTTAAAAACTATTTTTAAAAAGCTAAGCGATAACGGTTAAAGTAAAAAAAAATGTTTTAAAAAAAGAAAACAAGTTATTTTTCTAAGAAAAAACACTGAAAATTCAATTGTAAGCAACAAAGTTTTAATTATTCTCTGCAAAAAATCATATATTACAAATAAATAATACTAAATATTAGATGCCTTTTTTTCAATCCTCATTTTAGTCTATACAATAAGTTTTTGTACAGTATCTTTCTAACAAAATATTTTTTCGCCTAGCTATATATATATATATATATATATATATATACGCGTATATGATTGGTGTATACGGAATAAATTTCAATAACCAACAATTACTATTCTTAAAATAGTGCTCAATACAGAGTAGAGTGAATATAATTATTTATTTAAAAATTATAACATAAATATGTTATAAAATCACTACAAAAATAGTCATTTTGTTTCAACACCTCGGGTGTCTTATCAAGTGATGATGTTGAATGTAGTCTGTAGAATATTATTCTACTATATATATATATATATATATATATATATATATATATATATATATATATATATATATATATATATGGTGTAACAGTAAAATTGTGTAAATCGTGTAACAACGAAATTGTCCAATTTTAGATTAAGCTCTGAAACGTTTTATCTTAGAAATGATTAAAGATATTTTACTGGAATTATTTGAGATTTTATAACACTATTGGACTCTACTGTAAGCAATAAGAATGTATAATTACTCTCTAAGCTTTAACAGAAGAATCGTCATTAAATCGATTATAGAGTAAAATGATATGTTCATTAATTAATGATTTCGAAGAATCGGAAGATTTTGATATATTGAAATAAAGTTCAAACACACACACACACACACATATATATATATATATATATATATATATATATATATATATATATATATATATTATTCGAGGATCATTTTCCAACTTATTCAAGATGACCTCTGCCCTCTCTAACCTTATAACCTTCTGTGCTGGAGTATTAGGTTTCACGTACGACTTCATTTTGAAGTCTATTTTCACTGCTCTTTGTACTGACATAGATGAGACTCATCTCTCACGTGCCATATGTCTTATGGGTAGAGTTGAACCTTTTCTAATTGATCTCTATAGCTCTAAGTTGAAATGATGATCCCACTTCCTGTTGTGACCTCCTGATCCAATTTTCCTCTCTACGGTTCCATCTTTTTTAAACTTATTCACCATTCTCTCTTGATGCTTCTTGAGTGGACTTTGAACATTGAAGCCAGACCATGAATTTTGTTACCGGTAATGAAGGTCTTAATGATCTTTTTCCTCTCACCATTGCTCAGTTGCGAAGTGAGTGGGGCTGACACAAAACGATTTTGACCTATTCTCTTTCTAGCTGAATAGTGTTTATCAGTGTTTCTTACGACAAACGATATCAAGATGGCTAAACGTCTTATCTGAAAAACTTGAACAAAGAAACTCAATTAGTTTATTGTATTTTTAAGATATTAAACTTTTTATGGGGATGGAAAATGTATTGTTACATGATTTGGAATATTATGCTATTACACCGGGTATAAAACGACGCTGATAACTTCTTGCGACCTAAGATTTGTACCGTATAGGAAAAGCGGTAGGGAAATTTTGTACGACAGTGTGTTCAAATCGATACCACAAGCCAAGACTACAAGTTACTGTGTAGCTTATTAGGCATTATATGAACCATAAACTAGTAATTGAATCTGGGAAAATGTGTAGGAAAATATGATTATTACTAAGGTGTCGAAAAAATTGTGTAGCATCAATCTGGTAAGTAACAGTAATCTGTCTGCTACGTCATCTATCATTCAGGATCGTAGTTTTCAACTATGTGCCAAGGAAAATGTTAGCGTTTCTCTCAAAATTTCAAACACTTAATCAACAGTAAGTAGAGAGGCTTAAGGCAACAGTGATAGATAGATAGATAGATAGATAGATAGATAGATAGATAGATAGATAGGAATACATTGGGATGGGTAGTTAAAATGCCGGCATAGACCTAAAGAGAATAATTGAAAGGAGAAAGAAAGACAGACAGAAATAAATTAAAATAAATAAGAAACAAAGAAATAAAGGAAGAAAAAAAGAAAGAATGAAATTAAATTAAAATAAACGTAAAAGAAAGAGATAGAAAGGAATAAAGGAAGGAAGTGATGCAAGTAAAATTGAGAGAAAATAAAAATGTTCATGATGTGATAGCGATATGAAGCATGGATCGAAGAATCAAGAAAGAAAGAAAGAAAGAAAGAAAGAAAGAGAGAAAGAAAGAAATAAAGAAGTGAAGTAAATGAAACAGAAAGGAAGTATGTGAAACAAAGTTACGTAACCATATAAATGACTGAAAGAACTAAGTGTGAAAGAAAGAAAGAAAGAAAGAAAGAAAGAAAGGAAGGATGCGAATCAAGTAGCTATGAAGAAAGGAAAAAAGAAAGATAGAAAGAACGAAAAAGAACGAAAGAAAAAGAAAGAAAGAAAGAAACAATAAAATGAAAAGAAAAACAATAAAATGAAGAAAGGAAAACAGAAAGAAAGAACGAAAAGGAACGAAAGGAAAAGAAAGAAAGAAAGAAAGAAAGAAAGAAAGAACGAAAAGGGACGAAAGAAAAAGAAAGAAAGAAAGAAAGAAAGAAAAGAAACAATAAAATGAAGAAAGGAAAAAAGAAAGAAAAAGAAAAGAACGAAAAAGAACGACAGAAAGAAAGAAACAATAAAAAAGAAAGAAAAGAAAAGAAAAAAACAAAAAAATGAAAAAAGAAAGAAAAAAAAAAAAAAAAGAAAGAAAGGAAAAAGAAAGAAAAGAAAGAACCAAAAGAAAAAAGAAAAAAAAAGAAAGAAAGAAAGAAAAGAAACAATAAAATGAAGAAAGAAAAAAAGAAAGAAAGGAAAAAAGAAAGAAAGAACGAAAGAAAAAGAAAGAAAAAAGAAAGAAAGAAAGAAAAGAAACAATAAAATGAAGGAAAAGAAAAAAGAAAGAAAAAGAAAAAGAACGAAAAAAAAAAAAGAAAAAAAGAAAGATAAAATGAAGAAAAAGAAAGAAAAAAAGAACGAAAAGAAAGAAAAGAAAGAAAAAGAAACAATAAAATGAAGGAAAAAAAAAAAAGAAAGAAAGGAAAAAGAAAAAAAAAGAAAAAAAAAAGAAACAATAAAAATGAAAGGGAAAAGAAAGAAAGAAAAAAAAAAAGAAAGAAAAAAAAAAAAAAGAAAAAAATGAAAGGAAAAATGGAAGAAAGAAAGAAAAAGAAACGAAAAGAACGAAAGAAAAAGAAAGAAAAAAAGAAACAATAAAATGAAGAAAGGAAAAAAGAAAGAAAGAAAGAACGAAAAAGAACGACAGAAAGAAAGAAAGAAAGAAAAGAAACAATAAAATGAAGGAAAAAAGGAAGAAAGAAAGAAAGAAAGAACGAAAAAGAACGAAAGAAAAAGAAAGAAAAAAGAAAAGAAACAATAAAATGAAGAAAGGGAAAAAGAAAGAAAGAAAGAACGAAAAAGAACGAAAGAAAAAGAAAGAAAGAAAAGAAACAATGAAATGAAGAAAGTGAAATAGAAAGAAAGAATGCGAATGAAATGATATAGATCTAAACAATGAAAGAAAGAATCAATTGAGAACGAAAGAAAGTAAAACTAAGTGTGTAGGAAAGAGAGAAAAAATAGACGGAAGGAAGGAAGGAATGAAGGAAGGAAGGAAGGAAGGAAGGAAGACAGCGAAGAAAGTGATATAACAAAACAAAAAAAAAACAAAACAAACAAAGTTACACAGAAAGAAGGAAGAAAGTGTCGCAATTGAAATAGAAAGAAAGGAAGAACGTGAATGATGTGATATACGTAGATATAAAGAACGAAAGAAAGAATCAAGAAAGACGGCCAAGTAACATGAATAGGAAAGAGAAATACAGAAACACAGTGAGACGTGTAGGAAAAGATTAATATCGGCGTATCGATGAGGCCTTATTCTAAGGACGAAAAAAGAATTTGTAACATTTCTTAACATAAACTTCTTCCTTGATATTGCCCTTAATTCTCACGCGTCTCTCTCTCTCTCTCTCTCTCTCTCTCTCTATATATATATATATATATATATATATATATATATATATATATATATGATTATTTTTTTTTAAATATGATTCCAAATAAGATTAAAAAAATAATTAATGTAGGCTCTACTTGTGTATCGAGCACTGTTTTTTAAAAATAAAAACAAAATACTAAACAACTTCTGATCATCAATCTAACGATTCTTTTTATATTTTATCAATATATTTGCATATATATATATATATATATATATATATATATATATATATATATATATATATATATATATATATCTAAGTATAGGATTAGTGTATGGAATAAATTCCAAGAACCGATAAATACTATTCTTAAAAAGAGTGCTCAATACAGAGTAGAACAAATATGATTATTTATTCGAAAATTATAACATAAATATGTTATAAACTCACTAGAAAAATAGCCATATATATATATATATATATATATATACAAACATATATAGGTGTAAATGTGGATATAAACCAAATGATTAAATATTAGCAACTGCATATACGTGCGTTAGTGCATACACAAGTAAGCGAATAAATTTAAATTGTTTTTAAAAACAACCGCAATGATTCGTGCCTGATGAGTTGGTCAACCACAAATCTTTAAGTTGCACTAATAAAGTAGCTATATATATATATATATATATATATATATATATATATATATATATATATATATATATATATTAAAACCCAGTAATTTTAAAAGTTACTCCAAAATTCGCTTGAGGATGAAATGGAACTAATGTCTTTAATTTAATTACAAAATTAAATTTGGAGCTTTTAGCTTCCATTTTTGAAACATGGTTAGAACTGTGTAGTGAAAAAAAATCATATTTTAAATCAATTAATTTATAATATTAATGCTCTGTAAATTTACATTGAGCACTATTCTGTAAAAATAAAAATATCTATAAGAACACTGGATTATATATCTTACTTTCTTTCTTTTTCATATGTTCATATTACATATATATATATATATATATATATATATATATATATATATATATATATGTCTGTGTGTGTGTGTGTGTTTATGGATATATATATATATATATATATATATATATATATATATATATATATGTGTGTGTGTGTGTGTATAAAGAGATGAAGAAGAGATTGACACAATAAAATAGGATAGATAAATCGATATGTAAAGAGGAGTAGACTATGAGCCAGATATGATAAGACAGGGTAGTTTTAGAAGCGCTCACGAGCAGAATGAAATCTTTTGATCGATGTGAGCTGACGGAGATAGATAATCGCAGACGTACCTTTGTCATTATATATTACCTCTCGGTTGAATACGTTGGCCAATTCGTCAGTATTCCCAGAGAAAAATACACACAGATATACAGAAGATTGTGAAATCATTTTTTTCTTCTTCTTCTTCTCCTTACCAATATACACGCATAGTACATAAAAATCACGAATGCGCTTACACAGAGCCAGGCGCACACCCCTATATATATATATATATATATATATATATATATATATATATTGAAGGCAAGAATGATCACTAATAACCGAAAGATTGATACTATAATCTTAACTGTCAGACACGTGAAATGAAATCGTACTTACTTTCGACTTTGAGAAGATTTTCCTTCCTATTTAATGAATTACTGTGTGAATGGAAGCATTGAAGTAAGCTTTTGAATTACGAATGAATTGATGACCCAGAACAGATAGAGAGATACTACTGATTTTAGAAGTATGCTATCTGTCGAAGAAAAGGAGTTTTCATTGTGTCAATCTCAAATGTAAAGAGGCACTGGCGACATTTTCTACGCATTTGAAAATCTAAATAATATATTGACTTGATCAGCGCTAAGTAATCGCTGAGTTAAGGACGTACCACGAGTAAACCAAATCCATATATACAGCATATCCTAGAAGTCACCTAGGGATTTAAAAATCTAATAATTTCAATATTGCTTTTTTTTTTATTATTCGAAAATAGTTTTATACAGATTGAAAATTCAAACACTTGTAATATAATTCCATTTAATTTTGAAAATATAATATACATATATATCCTCCATTTTCGACATGACACTGACATATTGCTTTCAATAACAGTTTCTGAAACACTTGGATGGAGCCCTGATATTTTGGCACAGATGCTATACTTGAGTTGTTGAATTGTCTGCAATCCGGTGACCATATTTTCCTGATATAAACTGTCCGGCTAAGAAAATGTGTTCACTATAAAATTTTGCAATTTTACGAAATTAGATAGATTGATTAAATCCCAAATAAATTTCTAAGATTTTGGTTTGTTTGGTTTATTTTGTTTTACGGTATATCAACCTCAATCGTTTATTTAATACCGACAGGACTTTTAGGATAGATTCGTATCAATAGAATATGTATTCTTTGTAATGTCCTATTTTTGTAAAGAGAGTTTTTTTTCTCGAGAGTCAAATGTATTGCTGGTCATACACTTTTTCAAAAAAGTATTGCTGGAATTTTTTTTTTCAAAGATGTATTTCTGATATTTTTACTATAAAAATATTTGTATACTTTCATAGTGTTTTGACACCAGTTTTGAAGAAAAACTATTTGCCCATAGCTGGGATCCTAACAGGTTGCTCCCAGGTCAACCCCGAGTCAGGATGGACCTGCGAACAACAGCAAAGATTGTTCCTCGTTCCTCAAAACCTTCAGTCTCCCAAGCAAAGGCCTTGCTGCCATATGTAGTTTATAATCATGCCCAGGACTACTCACAGTAGCGGACTTGGTGTAAAAAATTTGGTTGCCAGGAGACATGTTATTATTTAGTTTTCATAAGTAATAAATAAAATTTTCAAATAAATACGTATGGAAAAATGAGTACAATTAATCGTTTGTAAAAAAGAACGTATTTCCTAGTAGTTACAATGGATTGTACATGTTACATGACAGAAAATGTAGATACGGAAACTTGTAATTGAATAGTTTATTTGTTTTTATTTTATTTTAGTAATTGCTTGATATATTGAAAGGCCAAATAGAGCATTGTCTGAAATCCATTATACCAAAAGCAATGGTTTGTGTTCACTAGACGATTGGTCCAATCTAGCAATAATTGCTTCTGAACGCATCCAGTTCATCTAACAATACCTGTTCAATTGATAGCAACATGCATGATTCCAGATTTTTCCTCGAACAGCAAATTTCTTAACTTTGTCTTTATGATCTTTAGCTTTGAAAAAGGTCTTTTCACATTGGACTTGAGTAACTGATAGTGTGCAGATGACTTTATTATTCCTTTTTATTTCTAAAACAGTTACACTTATGTTATATAAGGGCGGCAATCTATAAGAGGCCCCCTTGTCACTGCTTGCCACTTCTCGTTAGATATGGTAATAAAATATGTAGTCATTAGTATTATTAGGTGTATAAAAACAAAACCATCCGATCAGCATATTAAAAACTACCACACATATAGTCAACCTGTCTATCAATAGTTATGAAAAAAATAATATAAAAATAACTATTGATAGACAGGCAATGAGAATGAATTAGTAATAGACACTTCCTAAGAAATTCAACGTATGAATATATGCTTATGTGCTGAAGGAGTCATGTTGCTCGTATGAGTGATACAAGGATTCCTTAGCATTTTTTTTCATGGAGAGCTTTCTCACGGACTGCGACCATCCCATAAGTCAGTGAAGGTTTATAAAGATGGACTTAATGAATAACTGAGAATTACAACATCAGTATTCATACATATGATTGTGTTAACTAGCGGAAGAATTTTCAAAATAGAAACATTGCTTCAGAGAATTCTCGGATAGCAAACGAAAACCTGAATAGAAGCACCCAAAAAAGGTCATGATGTGGAACTTTCAGACCATGTCGGTGCATGCGAAACCATCCGCACAAATTTTACCTAATGTGGTAGATTTTGCTTGAGTATCGTAGGGAAATAGAGAATTATCCGGAGTCATCTTACCAAAAGACATCAACTACGTAATGACATTAAATACTAAAATTTCATATGTTGTGGATCCCGCTTGAAAAATAGGTATCCAATAAATGACAAATGCAAGTATTTAAGCTAAGAAATTAAATGTATTTCCCAAAATACAAAAGGTAATGCTGTTAGTAAAATCCAGGAACACGGTTAGTAGCAAATACAGATAGATATATACAGTCTCGAAGTAGGACTTCCTTAGAGTCTATGTGCTTGTAACTGACTTCTACAAGAGGTTACTTCACTCTATTCGAATACCGACACTCACAGACGACTCCGGTACGACTCATCTTCTCTGCCTGACTGCGGCTATTTTATGGCAGCAGGACGAGTCCATTATATCCGAAAAGGGTGGACCCCATAACATCATGTCAGGTTTGTGGGAAATTGTACGTCATCCCACACTTACTGACAGCTGGTGTGCAGACGCAAATATTTCTAAAAAGAATAAAACTAAAGACAAGAAAATGCATATTTCTCAGATCTGTCTTTGTGCCAGGGGATTTGAAATCTTAAGCGGTTTATAAGAGTAAGACCTCTTTAATGAAAACAAACGAGTCTTGATGTAATGGCTTGCGTTGGTCGTACATGACATCATGTATATATGTTAACCGGGTCGACCTCTTAGTGGAGAATAGGGGCTCAATCCCATCAAAGTAGCTGTTTAATGTAGTACTTTTTGTAGCAAATAGGGTTTAACGAAGTAGTGTTTCTCTTGCCACACCCAATTCAGAGTTTCATTTCACCGAGACTAATTGTAAAGCAAAAATCGAGAGCCCGATCTACCTTCTATTTAATATCAGTATGTTTATTTGTTAGAAAACGGACCTCGACTGGTATTACGAAATGACACACCTGTTACATCATTATGCGCCGATAACCGCTACGCAACCTCCAGGTTGAATAAATATATGCTACAAAAGTAGCCAGATATAAACGAATACAGAAGGGTAGCATAGAATAATCTTGCCATATATGGCTTGGTACCTCCGCTGTTCATCTTGAGGTTCTCGACAAAATCCAAAGACGGATATGCAATGTGATCAATCCTGACTTGGGGTATCAACTCCAGTCAGTTTCTCACCGACGTAATGTGGCTTCCCTCTGTCTTTTCTATAAATATTTTCATGACAACTGCTCTGACGAGGTTTTTTCGCTGGTACCCCGACTGTATGAATTTAAACGATCTACTCGTTTGCCATTTCGGTCCCACTATTTTACTGTCGAAACAGGTAAATTTAACTGACTTTTCTACTCCAGCGGGTTCTTATCTCATTTCCCGACAACGTAACTCCCTTCTTCCTATTTGCTTCTCTGATAACTATAATCTCTATCTATAAAAGGCAAGATGTGTGTGTGTGTGTGTAACGAATGCACGGCCGCAATTTTCGACGGATTTGCACCAAAATTTACATGCACATGCTCCAAGTTAGTGGAAAGGCCAAGACCGACTTTGCATTTCCCAACTCCCATCGATAGTGGAAATAATCCGTTTTTTCATGCTTCTACGGCAGTTTTCGTGTCGTTTGCGGCCATTTTCTACTGGTCAAAGTGAAAACCTATAGCTGGCTGCCACGAATATGCAGGAAAATTCTATTGGCCAGCGTGAGAGCCAACAGCTGACTGACACGAATGTTCACTAGCATGCTAGCATGCAAAAAAAAAAAAAAAAATCGATAGCTGCATTCGTGACAAGTGGGAAAAATTTAAATCTGCATGGCACTTTACTCCAATTGGCTCATTCGCTTGCTTAAACTCAACGTTGATTCTGATTCCGCAAAACTGGGTTGGGTGAGAAAAAGTATTTGTTGTTAACATTCTTTTTTCATTCGGTTTTTCCAGTTACGAGTCCTTTTTTAAAGCTGATCATTTCGTGTTCATTTTGTTTAGTTCTTTTTTCGTAACAGATTTAATGTTTAGTATAGAGCTTAGAAAAAATTCGCAGTGTGAGATAGGCAAGAAGTAAGGCATGTAGCAACATCAGTACGGCAAAGGGCACTCCTTTAAAGGCAAGGAAGGGCAAAAATATTTTAAGTCAAGTGATAACGATTGCTGTAAATGTCGTACAATTTTTGAATCAAGGACGGGCAACGCCGGGCCATGTTGCTAGTCTTCAATAACTTAAATGTAAAGTCAATCAACATCTTCTATTGCCATGATCCCCGTTCTTGTTTTTATCCTCCTCCGTTCTTCCCTTTTCTCAACCCCGTATATACAGTCCTCCTCCATACTTACCTGTCTGTAGCCCCTTGAGCACTAGTGGCACTCCCGCCTTGGGAGGAAATGACTAAAAAAAATAATTTGACAGAGATAATTACAAAGCCATGGAAGATTAATTCATGAATAGAATGAAAAAGATGACACGAGTAAGTGATTTTGTTTATTGGTAAATGTTGGAGAGTATAAAGGCAAGACAAGGAAGAACCGACCGGAGAGGAATAAAGACTATGTTGCGCCAATGTGTCGAATGCAGAAGTAGATTCATTTTCTTCAGTAGAAACATTGAATATTAACTAGTTCAAAATGGCTTGCAACAATATGTGAACTATAGACAACAACCCAACAATATGTACAGGAAGATCGTGTTGCGTCAGTTATAAAAAAAAAACAGACATACTTGTTTGAAAATCAGCATTCGAAATCTTAGGCTACTAGTACCACACTGCGTTAATTAGGGAATTAGTTAATAACCCTAACGAACACATCGAAAGATTGAGTTGCACTAATCATTCAAGAATAAATTACAAATCTACGCTTCTAATGACGAAATAGAATTTTCTTCGTAGATAAATGGAAAATAAATGTGTGGTTGCCTTGTATATATAAAAAAATTAAAAATCGTATATACACGCGTATAGTATTAGTTCTTATTATCAATTTTGGGTTCCACAAATTAGGGGTCACACTATGCGCACTTTTCTGAAGAGGTTAAAAATCATGTATTTTCAGTGACCAGTTGAACTATGCATCAGTATTTTGGGAGGGGTTAAAATTCATGCCAAAAATTTCAAGGATCGTACTTATACATGAGATCGGCTTATCCAGTAGTATATATGGTAATCACGTCATAAAATGTCATAGATATAAATGCAAAGATTGCGATAGAAATAGGGATGAATCAGGATAAAAGATATGAACAAACTATATATATATATATATATATATATATATATATATATATATATATATATATATATATATATATATATATATATATAAATTAATAGATTTAAAATATGTTTTTTTCTACACAGTTCTAACCATGTTTCAAAAATGGAAGCTGAAAGCTCCTAATTTAATTTTTTAAGCGAATATATATATATATATATATATATATATATATATATATATATATATATATATATAGAGAGAGAGAGAGAGAGAGATAGATAGATAGATATATAGATAGATAGATATATAGATAGATAGATTGTGATAGGTAATAATATATATACATATATATATATATATATATATATATATAGATAGATAGAGAGAGAGAGAGAGAGAGAAATAAACAGATATATATGAATCAGACTGAGATAGATAGATAGATAGATAGATAGATAGATAGATAGATAGATAGATAGATAGATAGATAGATATAAATCAGACTGAAATAGATATGATTCAGAATGAAAACGTATGAATAGACTGAGATAGATAAACATGAAAAGACGGACAGATAGATAGATAGATAGATAGATAGATAGATAGATAGAAATAAACAGATCGTGACCGATAATTAGATAAATATATATCAATTAATAGATAGATATGAATCAGAATGAGATGGATATGATTCAGAATGAAAAGGTATGAATAAACTGAGATCGATAAACATGAACATACCAAGATAGATAGATAGATAGATAGATAGATAGATAGATAGATGCGTCAATAATGTAAAAATGTACAACATTTAAAGTATTACGAAAACATATATGTTTGAGGTTGATGTCCTCGAAAATCTGTGCATAAACACACATAGATGCGAATGCCTCTATCGAGCTAGCCAACAACCTAGCTTCTAATACTCTATATACATTTGTCTCTTTATTCCAAAGTTTTTTGCTTTGTTCATATTTAAAAAGTATATATATATATATATCTCATTGTCTCTACAAGAACACCACTCATCATTTCGATTTATTACACACAATGGATAACAACAGAAATACTCGCTATCTAGCTTCCGCCCATTTCCCAAATCAGCCTATCATACTAAGGAGATTTCATTGCAGAACATTACCACTGAGATGATCTCCGTGCGTCTAAGGCTTGAAAAGGAGAGTTATTGACCTGAGCAGAACAATGGATCAAAAGACAGGCAAATGTGTATTCATACATAAAGCTACAAAGAATAATTACCCAATGTTTCGGAATTGTGGTAAGCATGTATGCACGCTGGCAAGAGGATTGTCTTTGTTTTGGGCTAAAAGCTTTTTTGACAAGAAATTATTGTATGGTTATTACATAATTCCTTCTGAGCTGTAAAATTATATCATATTCTTTCATTCTATCTCTTTCAATCTCTCTCTCTCTCTCTCTCTTATATATATATATATATATATATATATATATATATATATATATATATATATTACGATAAACGTGCAATCAATTTACAAATTCATGAATTATTCACACAAAAACAAATGCAAAGGTTAATGATTTAATTGGCGAGAAATCCATCGTCGCAAACAATTCAAATAATATAAAAAACCTCGAATCCGTTATGAATGAAAAAGATCCTTGTTTCTATAAATTTCTGCCGTATTAGTTCTTATTTTTACTGCATGCTTTCGTCTGTTCCTCAGACATCTTCAGGTATGGAATAGATGTTGTTCTTGTTTTTTTTCTCTTAGTAATAAAGAAGACAACGAAAATATATGTATTGTTGTATCCGAAAATGCTATTGGAAATGAGTTATTGTTTTTGGAACGCGCAGTAGCAACGCTGAGTTTGATTTTAATTTTTTTTTTTAACCTTTGCATTTGTTTATGTGTGAATAATTCATGAATATAATATATATATATATATATATATATATATATATATATATATATATATATATATATATATATGAAGAAAATATACGGAAAAACAAACAAAAATCCTTATATGTTGTTTTTAATGTTAATATGTCAACGTCGGACATTTCAGTCTAATAAACCATCTTCAGGACTTATTCATAAAATATAATTAACATTATCAATTCAACATTTATAAATTTTAAGTTTAGATTATATCGTCTTTTATTGTGCCTTGTGTCAACGCAAATGTTTACAGCCGTTTCCGGTGTCGGTTTTTAAATTAATTTAGGTCAGCGATTCAGTAATGAATTATGCATCTGAAAATAATTCATATTGATATCTGTATCTCACTCATTTCAACTCCTCTCTTTAAAACTTCTCTCTGTTAAATTTTAACCCCCACCTTCACTTTTAGGCCATCCTGTTTTTCTTTCGTCTGTTACCCCCCTCTCTAGAGCTATCATTTACTTCTCACATTCGTCCCCCACTCTCATACATACACTCTCACTAAATTTTATTTTTTATTCCCGGAGTTATTTTGGCTGATTTCTTTTTGTATTTGTAGGTCTGATGAATTTGATCGTAATCACGATTCCAATGTAATAAATTATAACCAAGGAATATTACTGTTAATATTTTATTTTTATATATATATATATATATATATATATATATATATAATAAGGCAGGATTAATGTGCGTGTGGGTAATGAAACTTGGTACAATTTTCGACGGATTTTCACCAAAATTTACATGCACATGCTCCAATTAGTGGGAAGGCCAAGACCGACATTGCATTTCCCAACTCCATCGATAGTGGAAATAATCCATTTTTTTCATGCTTTACGTTATTTTTTCATGTAGTTTGTGGCCATTTTCTACTGGCCATAGTGAGAGCCTATAGCTCGCTGCCAAGAATAGGCAGGAAGATTCTATTGGCCAGCGTGAGAGCCAACAGCTGACTGACACGAATGTTAACTAGCGTGCTAGCATGCAAAAAAAATCGATAGCTGCATTCTTCACAAGTGGGGAAAATTTAAATCTGAATGAAACTTTACTCCAATTGGCTCATTCGCTTGCTTAAACTCAACGTTGATTCTGATTCCGCAGAACTGGGTTGGGTGTGAGAAAGTGTTTGTTGTTAACATTCTTTTTTATTTCGGATTTTCCAGTTACGAGTCCTTTTTTTAAAGCTGATCGTTTTGTGTTCATTTTTTTTAGTTCTTTTTTCGTTACACATTTAATGTTTACTATAGAGCTTAGAAAAAAATCGCAGTGTGAGATAGGCAAGAAGTAAAGCATGTAGTGACATCAGCACGGCAGAGGGCACTTCTTTAAAGTCAAGGAAGGGCAAAAATATTTTAAGTCAAAGGATAGCGATTGTTTTATGAGTCGTACGATTTTTGAATCAAGCACGGCAACGCCGGGCCATGCTGCTATATATATATATATATATATATATATATATATATATATATATATATATATATATCTTCATATCTCTTTCTGTGTGTTTCAATCCTCAGTTCACAGCTATCTATCTATTCACATACATTTACATGTTCGCATTCGTCTCTATTGACATAATACGCTCGATGCAAGACTATCTATCTATGTAAATCAATCATGACTAAAATAACAGAATTTCTTTTTCTCGATATCTGATGAAGCTTTAATAAAGGTAAAACATGCGAGATTGATAAACGTTTCCTGCTTATTTTCTTTTTATCCTTTATTAACTTAATATCTTATATTACCTTATCTATCTATCTATCTATCTATCTATCTATCTATTCTTTTCAGTTTGTTAATATATACGTAAACTATTCTAAATTTGTTCATTAATTTATCTCCTCGTTTATTATTATTGCCCAGGCATCAATGATTAAACGAGATATTCGGATACAAAAGAATCGAAAATTGACGAAACACTTGATTCTTTTTGGCCTACACGAGTTGGACTAAATATAGGAAATATTATAGTTTTGAAAGCCACTCTAAGACGTTATCAAAGATACTCTCACAAAATATATCTATCTTTCTCTCCCAAAAAACTATCCATCTCTCACTTTCTCTCTCTCTCTCTCTCTCTCTCTCTCTCTCTCTATATATATATATATATATATATATATATATATATATATATATATATATATATGTATAAAATAAAATTTTGTTTTTGTATATCTATCTATTCTATATATATAGGTATTTTCATGTATTCGAATAAAATAAAATAAAATTGCTTGCTAATAATAGTAGAATTATATATATATATCAAATTACATGTCAAATTATATAAGTCGACATATAAAATTTAACAGAATTATTGCCATTGGACGAGAGCGATAATTTATTATATTAGATGTAATAGGATACAATACTCATATTTATTTATTATATATATATTGAACATTTATATATATATATATATATATATATATATATATAGTGTAACCCGGATATAAGAGACCCGGATATAGAGAGATTTTCTCTGGTCCCAAATTAGAGCCTGTGTTAATGTATATAAAATAGACCAAACCCGGATGAAAGAGAAACCGGATATAAGAGACTTCTTCTCGGTATCGACAATCTATTATACTCTATTATATATATAGGTTATATATATATATATATATATATATATATATATATATATATATATATATATATATATATATATATATATATATATGTATATATATATATTTTAATTTCATTTTATTTCATTATGTAAAAATATGAAAAACGTTTGTCATAGGGGCTCTTAAGGTCGACTGCTGATTCAAAGGCATTGCTGGGTTAATCTTCATGGATGCCATATCAATTTCCTCAGCGTGTGTCTTATTGAGAAACACGCAAAAATGTGGATTTGATAAGAATTTTGGGAAAATTTTCCTATAAAATGATTTTATTGATTAATAAGTCTTTTCTGTGCATGCAAACCCAAATACTTATTCTTAAACGAAAAAAGAAGTTTTATTCATGAAGATTTACCACTCCCCTTCCTCAGGCCCTCTCAATTCTATTATATCTATATATATATTCATATATATATATATATATATATATATCTTTATGTATATATATATATATATATATATATATATATATATATATAGAAATATATATATATATATATATATATATATAGAAAATAATATATATATATCAGTGTGTCTAACGATTTTAATTTTTTTATATTTTTTCATTGTTCAAAATATAAAGTATATATATATATATATATATATATATATATGAAGAGACACAAAATCATATATATATATATATATATATATATATATATATATATATGGTCAATGACATGAGAGAGAAAAAAGAGAGAAAATTCAGCTATTCATGGATATACCTGCACGATTAATATGCGAGCAGCTTCAATTAATATGTATGCATTTTTATGAATAGAAAGCAAATACCTATCCTTAATTGAAAATCATTATTTTAAATGTCTCCACTCTCTCTCCGATGTATATACATATATATATATATATATATATATATATATATATATATATATATATATATATATATATATATATATATGCACATTTAATATCAAGCAATTTCACTGAATATGCATGCATTATAATATCAGTTATCTTCGGAATAATATAGATCAACAGATGTTTTATCATTCTCTTTAAAGCATTCCCCTTGCTCTTATATTCGGTAAAATCTATACTCAGCATCCTTGTGTAGAAACATATTTCTGTTGCTTCAAGTCTCAATTTAAACTCGTCTAAGATTTTTCAGCATTCACTACCATATATGGGGACTAAAACTTTATAGTAATAGGAATACATATTTAGTATATTATATTTGAATATATATATATATATATATTTGAAAAGTGGAAAATTTTTCATAGAAAATAGATTTGATTAATGGTTTTGCCATTTATGGCTTCATCAGATCCAAAAAGGAAAGAAAGA